ACACGTTATTGTAATGGATTATGTTAAACTTTAGAAAAAATAAATAAACAATATTGTAATCAAATAGTCAATATTTATATGTATTTTAATGGTTATGTATTTATATATTTTTAAAATATTATATATTTACTACGAAATATTAGATTGATATATTTCTTTTAGATATGAACTAAGGCAAGTTTTGAGAATAAATTATTTAATTCATTATTATTAAAGATTTTTTAGTTGATATAAGATAATAGTGTATTTGTTTTCTCCCATTTAAGTTTTTTAAGTCTTTATTTTCATGTAGATAAAAAAAGTGTAACCTAATCATAGTCTAAAAAGAATTGTTTTATTGTTTTAAGGATGATACATCAAATAAAAATCTAATAAAGACTAAAATAAAATTTTACTCATTATAAAATCTTTTTCAAATTTTTATAAATTAACCATATCCATTCATTATAAATTAGGATTTGCTATTATTTTGGTTGTTTTAAACTTTTTTAGGTTTTTGTTTTTAGTTCTTATATAAAAATATATTGATAGGTATCAGTTCCTAAATGTTTCATTAAGAATCTTCCGTGATAATCAAGTATCATTTTAGCAAAGTATGTTTTCAATCACTTACTAACTAGTTTGATGTTATCAATTGATATGAACAAATGAGGATCAAAAACACCATTTAGCTAGTACAAAAAAATTACACATGATGGTATTATCAAACTTCTACAAGGCATACAAGTCAATGTTAACATTATTATACTTAATTTAATTAATGTTTGTTGCTTGATGAGAAGATAAAAAAGTGGTTATGGACAAAAGTTAGACAAAACCTCTCAATTTTAATTTATAATTTGTTTAAAGAGCATTAAAATATGAAACCTTGTATATAATCAAATATTTAACCAAGGATAATTGTGCAAAGATGACCTTCAATCTTGTGTGTAAAGCTACTAATGGCTTGAAATTGTGCTAGAGTTTGTCATGTACCTTGTGAAGGAGTTAGGAGCCATACACTTCATTTTTTTTTTTTTTTTTTATTTCTTTCTTCTTCACATTGCTTTATGCATGGTCTTCATCTTAGAATAATTCACTTGGGAGAGAAAATATTCACCCTTTGGTGTCTGTAAAAGTCACTAGTCATTATCTTTACTTCATATATATAAAGAATTTTGCTAAAACTTAGTTTGCTTGTGAACAATTTGGGGAGCCATTGACTTTCATTTTCCTTCCCCCAATTTTGTGAAGAATTTTGTTTGATCTCATAACATCACCTTCCATTTATCACAACTTTTTCTAAACACTAACTTAAACCACATAATTCACGTTTATCTATTACTTTTAAATTTATTTTATCTTTTTCCACCCAAGTATTTTCTCTTATTTTTTAGTCCATTTTGTAATTTATAAATTTCTTGGCTTCACAAAACTTTTATTCATATGTCCATTGTTTCACATTCCCTCTTAAATTTTTTTTTTAATTTTTGTTTTAAATCGATTTTGATATTTTAATAGATTTTTTAAGAAAATTTGTGGAGAAAACATAATATTAATAAAATGTGAATTCAATCTATATAAAAAATTTATATCACTTGTAACCCATAATCTTAGCCCAGTGTGTTTATAATGATCTTCCTTCATAATACTCAACTTTTTAATTAATATTTAACATTAGACTTAAATTTACATTTAAATTTTTAATAATTTTTCTTTAGATAGGATTATATCAGAGTTGTGAACTCTCTCAATATATAGGAAATTTATAGATATATTAAAAGGGATGTATTTTTATTTCAACACACTCCATAGAAATCAAAATGTAGAAAACTCCACAGAACTAATAATAAATAAAAAATAAAAACCTTGACTTGAAGGTGCATAAAGAAATAACCTACTTGCTAACATTATGTAGTCATCACAAACCCGTAAATGCTGCAAATAAGTGAAAATCATGTTTGATATTTTTTACCCTAGACATCAGTGTTAGGCCGGCCACAAATAAAATAGAGGAATTTGGAATTAAAACAATTATTAACTCACAGCTTATTAATTAAATTAAATTCCTCCTCAATAATTAAAAGCATTACCTATAACCTATATAAGGATGGTTGCCGTAAACATAAAAATAAAAAAATATTATGTGCTGTTTGAAAATTTTTCTGAAAATGGAAGTGAAATTTACTAAATATTTTCTATGCTATTACAATTTTAAAATTTGATTTTTTTTATTTTAAAAAATTGTTATATTGGTTTCACTAATTTAAAAATGTTCAATTTTGATTTCTTACAAAAGGGTTAAATATATTTTTAGTTCTTCAACTATCATGAACAAAACTTCATCTCCAATTTAAATTTAAAGTTTCAACGAACAGAACTATTTCCAGTTTAAATTTGAACATCTTCATATCATCTGCTTTATACATTGGAAACTTTCTCCTATTCAAACTCACACCATCATCACTATCTACATCTGAAGACAATTCATCTGTATCGTATTCTTCATTTATGTCATAGTCTCCAATTCTTCATTAATGATATACTACCCTTCATCAACATTGCTTCTTCTCCTGTCAGTTTTCTTTCTTTTTCATTCTACTTCACATCTCCAATACAGGATTAATATTTCTACGATCTTTCTCCACCCTCTCATTCTCCATCCTAAACCCATCATTGTTATTTTCCATTTTTTCCTCTTCACTATCATCTAGATTTTCTTTAGGCGAAGCTTCAATTTCCCCCTCAACCACATTTCCCTCTTCCTCTTCCTCATCCTCACGAACATAAGGTTGTTCGTCACTCATCTGGACATCTTCGTCAATGACATTCCCTTCTTCCTCTTCCTCAGTCATGTGGACGTCTTCTACATCCACATTCTCATCTTCCTCTTCCTCAACAACATAAGCCTCTTCTTCACCAGCATAACTCTCATCCACAATCACCTTTTCGTCACCCATATTTACCTCTTACTCCATGTGGTGTATGTGTCACGGATATGCCTCTTCATCAAAAGTAATAAACTTAACTTCAACTGCCTCACTACGAACATGTTGCACATAGATTTATACCTCTTCGTTATTTGCCTATGTGTAGTTAGCTAAGAACATTTCTTCCCTGTCATCACTCAGAATTATGAGATTGTTCAACAGTCTTTGTTTTGACCCCTTCCATCATAGCTTGAACTTTGCATCATATTTGAATTCTTTAACAAATCCCAGTGTTTCAAAGTACGACCATCGATCGGTATCAACTCCTTTTATAACATGTATTTCTCCTCCAACATATTGTAGTTCGTTATTGTTAACAAACTTCCCCATGTGATGTAAAGAAAGGTCGAAAACCATTTTTAAACCTACATTGTCAGATGAAGAATTTACGTCCAAATAACACCAACTGTAAACGAAAACCAAAAGCAAAAAAATTACCTTCCTTGCAATTGTGTTTCTTTAACACCAACCGCAACAACCACTGCAACCACACCAAGCGCCACCACAAATTGATCGAAGAGAAAACTAACTAAGCAACTATAATCACGATTTTGGATTTAGCTTGAAGATAAAAGTAACTAACGAACCCTAATGTTGCTTCTAGTAAATTACTCACTAACAGATGTCATCAAACATGGCAAACTTAGCAAACATGTTATCAAACGTGGCAAAACTTTAGTTAACTTAGCCTACTTTTAAAAGCGTTATTTTTTAAGGACGAAATATTACAGTTTCCTAAAGAACAAGAATCAAAGTGAACCAAAGTTTGGAAGAGTGACTAAAACTAAAACGCATCATAGTTGAGAGACTAAAAACATATTTAACCCTTCTTAAAATGATTTAATTAAATATTTTGTAATATTTATTCTTTCTGTTAAACTTGGTCAAGAAGTGGAGTATTTTTAAATTAGAAAAATGAAATATGATTAAAAGGCTGAAATAACAAAAAAATGAAATGAATAAAAACTTAAGAGTGACAAAGGACATTTATCATTAAAAAATTTAAATTCGACAAACGACTTACGGAAACGGATTGCAAAATTATTGCATTAAAAATAAATATTATCAGAATAATAATGTACAAACATTAAGAGCATCAATAAATAAATAAATTATATATATATATATATATATATATATATATATATATATATATTATTTATTGTTACACTCATAAATTTTAAAATTACCAGTTTATCCTTTCTTTAGGTAACTTCTGGATTACTTATTATACAAATCTTCCCAAACAAGCTGTTTTTTAATTTTTGGAATAGGATTTTCAAAACAGAATTTTCATAACACAATTTCCTGAAGAAGCCTTTTAAAACGTGAGAAATGAATTTTAGAACAAGCTTTTTTGAAACAAGATTTACAAAATGAACTTTCCATAAAAGGATTTTCACAACAAGCTTTTGAAACATTTGAAATGCTTTTCAGAACAAGTTTTCCAAAGTAAACTTTCTCAAAATATGAGATATATTTCTGAATAAGATTTCTAGAACAAAATACCTTTCAGCAACAAATTTCACACCAAATCCATAGTTTTTCTCTCTCTTCTTCTCAAAGATTGAACTAAGAACAAAGGTGTAGTTAGAGATACAGCGACAATGACGATGGCAATTAGCAGCAGCGTTGGCATAATGCAATGAGGGCACTTTAGTCTTGCTGTTGTTAGCATGGGGTGTGGATAGTAATCCAGGAGGTGCAAAAAGAAAAAAGTCTAATAACTAAAGCCCTATGTGATGAAAACAGAAGAAAAAATAGTTGTGAAAATAGCAAGTGAAGATAATAATGATTATGTTGCTAACAAATATAAAAATATAAAAGAATAACACTAATCAGTGCCTTTATATTTTATTTTTCATATATTTTCTATTAAACTCTCCATTTCTCTTTTTACTTCTTCATTAATGTCTTTAATTTTTTTTTCCTCGTTTATTTTTATTTACCAAAGAGCCCTAAAAGAGTTGATTAATGTGAGTCTATCAGTTCAATTTGCAAATAAATAACCAACTTCCCCTATAACAGCAATATTCCGCCAGATACCTCTTTGATATATATTCACGTAATTACAAAAATCCATTTAAAGAGCATAACATAAAATCTTGAACCTTTAAAGAACAAAGTAGGGGTGTGTGAAATAAGGAATACAAAAAAACAAAAAATAAAATCTCAATGTTGACAATGATCACTACAATTTTAAGGCGTCCCTGAACTTAATGCTGAAGCTATTTTCTAGGCCCTTCTTACCAATTGTTGGAAGATTTCCTTTTTGCATCATAGCCACAAACTCATTGTAATCTATGCGTCCATCCTGCATATGACAAAAACATAGCTCACATCAATCATAAACTGTATATATTCTATTTAAGCATCATATTCTTGCTAAAGGGTGTTCAGTTTTTTAGCAAAACATTGAACATATAGCACAATACATTAGTGTGGTTGTTCCGAGTACAAACTAACAACTGGAACATCTGTACCATGATGTTCAAAATAACTACAAACAGTTATGAATTCATTTATTTGATGCTCCTTGATTTCTTTTTTCAGTCAAATGAATTCTCTAGAGGAAAATAAGATTCATTCTCAGCTGTAATGAATCTACTATTCATGCAATCCTTTTGGGTATGGAGGAAAAGAGTTAGCTTTCTGAACTAAAGACAAGGACAAAAACTATTCATTTTAAAAGCTGGAGACCAAAAACAAAATTTGAAAAATTTTCAGGAACTAAAAACATCATTAACCCTTATTTTATGTAATTAGTGTTCCTTTTAATCAAAGGGAAGTATTGAGCTGAAGAAATCAGAGGGGTTAGCTCGAAATGATACCAAAGACAAGTAGTTCATCATTTGTTATAGAGTGACACGGATGGAAGAGGAACCAATAGAATTGTAAATAACTTACATTATCTTCATCAATTTCCTTGATTATCTCTTCCAAACGAACATCTTTTATGCCGAACTCATCACAAGCCTGTTGAAGTTCTTCCTGAGTAATATAGCCACTTCCATCTTTATCAAAGTAAGAAAAGGCTGCAAAGAGATTATCTTCTCTTTCAATTTTGTTGCGATGTAATGTTGCAGCAAGGAATTCGCCATAATCAATTGTCCCACTGTTATCAATATCAGCCTACAATTTCAAGGCAGGGTAATAAGTTAGAGCTTAGAGTTAGCCTATTAAACAAAATACATTATTACTACGAATATTTGATAAAGATGAGGTTTAATCATAATGCTTCAATTTTTTCTTTGATTTTACATCAGCTACCTGTATATTTTACTGAATATAGTAAATTTTTATTTCAAATGTCAAACAAAGTTCATGACCTTGCTGGCATGTAATATATAAACAAACACAAAAACAAATGATAATGTTTTCAAGTTAGTCGATAAGGCGATATCTACAAAGAAGCGCAGATGACTACCAAATAACAGTCTCATTTAAAATTACAAATTAGGACTTGCAAAATAAAGATTAATTAAGAATCATTGATTGCTACATTGTGATCAGCCCTTTCCTATAACTTCCTTGGTGGGAGATCTAAATATTTAAGGGTGTGGAATTTATGTCATATTCAACCAAAATGTATGGCAAAAACTAAAGTAACTATAATTACAGAAAGCTTAACCAGTGCAAAAGATATTCATTTCTCATTGATTTTGTGCACACCATACTCTATACTCTATGTAATACCCCTTTTCTTTTATAAAATAAACTTAAAACACTTACCGCTTGCATTAAATCATATATTTCAGACTCATTAAGATTAGCACCCACTCTTTTCAAACCAGCTTTAAGTTCTTCAAAAGTGATTTGACCACTGTTGTCTGCATCGATCATCTTGAACATCTCTTTTAAGCCAGCAATTTCTTCTTCTGATAAGCTCTCAGCAATAATCTGAAAAACAAAAAAGGCAAACGATTGTTAAATGAAAAGGTGCACATTAAAGACTTCCAATCCAAAAGACATAGCTAAGTATCCCCATAATCAATGTCATCTATCTACAAGTCCAAATCACATAACACGTGTGTCAATTTTTAATGTATCTGTAAGTCCAAATTATATGCACGTGACTTTCAAGCTTCCACATCCAGAGACTTACTATAAGAGCCATTTTCTTGAGCTTGTTCATAGCAGAAAATTGCTTCAAGCGACTTAATACAGCAGAATCAAGTGGCTTATCAGGAGCTACACCATCAACTTGAATCCAAGGATGACCTACAGGCAATTAAACATATATATGCAAGAAAAATTGAGTTTGGAATGCCATATTATTTCAAATTAATTATGATTGTAAAATTTATGCCCAAAGTAACTAGCTTGGGCGCTCCTATAGCATAGAAAAGATTAATCCACATAGCATAGAAGAACTAGTATACTTCCTGTAATACAAAGGAGAAGTAACATCAAACTTGTGATACAAAGAGCATACAACCCATACACAAGCATCAAATGTTGCAGACACATTATTTAGCACTAAAATAGTGTCAATAATAATACTTATATCTGCATTGTTCAAATGTAAGAAAGTATTAGGATATAGAATAATTACTAATTAAAGGAATATTGTGGGTCAGGTCAATATATCAATGAATAGGAGGATCAAAGAGAGGGAGGTTCAGTTTTGTAGATTGAGCATTAGCTCTTTGGGAAAGGACAAACCTTTGTGAAGGAGAAACCCTTGGAGGAGAGAGTGCTCTCAATTTCTTGTTCTTTTCATTCTATTTAATAAAGTCTTTCTTGTATTTCTCTTTCAAATTCTAGGTTCTAACAATTGGTCTAACATGTCAGATCTTTGAGAGCAAGGATCAATGTTTTTGAGATGGAGGAAACACACATTTGGGCTAATAAGAGTTGGTAGTGTTTGCGGAGTTAAACTCAATTGGTCATGTAGACATCACACATTGACTAGAAATATAACCAATAGTAATTCATGTTATCTACCTTTATGTAAGGTTTCGTAATATGCAAGTTTATATTGAACTCAACTTCACAAAACTAGCTTGAAAGATGAGAACTGCACCCCACACATGAATTATAATTTGGCTTTATTTTTAGTCAATGTGAGATCTCCAATACACTTCTCACATTGAGGAATGAACATGTCCAGTGTGGAATTAGATATTTGCATATGATCTAACATAAGTCCAATAGTAGGTGACACAACAACCTTAAGAACTTGACTAGAATAAGTTCTAAATGGCTTACTTACCATCTTAATAATTGGGCTTATGCCTAACTCAACCTCACAATTGGCTTGTAAAGTGTGGACTGCACTCCACTTATATATTATAATTTAGCCTTAGTCCTAGTCTATAGGATATCCAACAAGGTTAAATCAACTAGAACTAATGGAAGTCATATATTACAGGATTGCCTGTAGCATCGACTACAGGGCTACCTGAAGGACCTCCAACAGCAGTTCATGTTACAAGATTGCCCCTTGAAAGGTTTCCCCTTCACAAAGAATTTCTCCTTTTAAAAAGAATTAATGCTCAATCTACAAAAATGAGCATCCCACTCATTACCCTAGCATCAAACTATAAGAAGTTCTTGCCAAACAACAAAAATTAACATCATTATCGTTCAACTAATTCCCTCATCCAAGTAAAGACTAAAGAAATTTCAAGATCATCACTGAATTATCAATTAGTAAATTTATACTTACATAATACTTGATGCGCTGTCAACCTCCTTCTAGGGTCACGAGCAAGCATTTTTCGTACTAAATCTTTTGCACTTTCAGAAATGTTAGGCCAGGGATCAGAAGAAAAATCAAGATCACCACTCAGAACCTGTTCAAATATTCCCTGTTCGTTTTCTGCACAACCAAACAAACCATGCAAAGGAGAAGAAAATTAATAATCAGAAAAAAGAAGTGGCATAAATTTATAAGCAAGGAGATCACAATTACAGTGTCAAAATAAATCCAAAAGATCTCACCAGCCCAAAACGGAGGTACTCCACTCAAAAGAATGTAAAGGATAACACCAGCACTCCACACATCTGCCTCAGGACCATATCGTTTTCGCAAAACTTCAGGGGCAACATAGTAGGGGCTGCCCACCACATCAGAAAAGATATCACCTGGAAGTGAAATATCATCAGTTTTTCTCCATGGAATCAAATTACTTCTTCAACTTGTACAAAGCTTCAGTTAAAATAATGAACAGACTCATGATTCATATAATTCTAGAAGCCTGATTGAATATCTACATCTATACACACATGTGGGGAATTACTCTGTTAAGAACCAACTGAACAGAGGTAGAAAAATTGTATAATAGATTGAAAATACCACCTGTAATCCCAGATCAGAAGTCCCTCGGAAAAAATTTCTCTACCTAATCACAATGTGTGTGTGTGTGTGTGAGAAAGAGAGAGAGAGAGAGAGAGAGAGAGAGAGATTTTCTTTTCAAATGATTTTATAGTCATAATAATACACTAAAAATAAATGAGCAAATACTTGGAACATTAACAGCTCGTCGATCTAACACTAATTCCAGTATACAGAAGTCGCTTATATGGGTATAAACAAAATTGCAGGACGGAAGGTAAAATACTAAAAGTCAAAGAAACATATCCCAAATTTAGACAAGATAACATATACATAGATTATTATGAAGTTTTTCTCCACAGAATTCATAGCACATTTGCATGTAATACAGAAATTCTCAAAAATTTAAAAAGGATATTACATTGTTGCTATGAATTTAGGATATAGTAGATGGAGAAGCTTTCTAAAGTTCAAAGACTTGATAAGGCCAACAAAAATTATCGACCCCTTTTAAGACTAAAAAGTCAGTATGTCAAATGAAGTTAACAAATTCATACACAAGCAACAGCAACACATTGCATATCGGCAAATGCCAAGCACCTTAAAATATTAATCCAGTTCTATGAAACATATTGCATGTAAAATAGTCAGCAAATTAAGAAATCCAAAATAACCAAAATGCCTGCAGATCAATCAAATTCAGCGTCCAATGATATCTCCATCCCACTTGTGCTCCAGTCCTATCAGGGTGTATGTGCTCACATGAAAATTTATTGGTTTTGGACTTCAAAAGGTATGCTTTTTTTTCTTAATTTGGCGTCTCAACTTTTTAGTTTAATAAATGAAGTCTTTATAAATGTTACAATTCATTACAACCTAATCATACCAGTTTGAATCTTCATATTTCAGTCCACCTCAATCTGAGTATGTTAGTAAGTATACATTCATACTATTTTTCAGATCTTACACCATGCAGGTGCACAGAGTAAGACCAAAATGAGATAAACTAAACTTGCACAGACCAAACTGGCTTCTGATAAAATAAATGTTTTATTGAAATAAAATATCTATTGCACAATAAACGTTTTCTTTCTCGGTAAAACCGTTTTACTTTTAGTTGCTTAAAATCAACCCTAAAGAGCAACATTAACAAAACCATTTATTTAATCACAATATAAGCAAGACCATCTGAAAATACCTGGCTTAAAGAAGACAGACAATCCAAAGTCAATAGTTTTTAGAAGTGAATCTTCTTGCTGATTGACAAAGAGAAAATTCTCAGGTTTAAGGTCTCTGTGCATGACACCAAGAGAATGGCAAGCTTCCACAACTCCAACTATAGTTCTGGTAAGTTCAGCTGCCTGTCTTTCAGTATAATGACCACGCTGTATAATCCTATCAAAAAGCTCTCCACCTGCACACAATTCCATCACAACATGAACAGCTACAGCATCCTCATATGCACCTTTGATGGATATAACATTAGGATGACCAGCCAAGTGGTGCATTATCTGAATTTCTCTTCTCACATCTTCAACATCATCATCTGTGACAAGCTTCCTCTTTGCAATAGATTTACAGGCATACTCATATCCTGTTGCCTTCTCCATACACAAGAAAGTTGTCCCAAACTGACCCTGTCCAAGTTTTCTTCCAAGAGTGAAGAACTCCTTGAAATTATCAGTCTCTCTCTGCAACACAGAATCAACTCGAAGCCCTGCACTAGAAACTCTCCTCACAGAACCATGTTTCTTGTGCCTCTTCTTCCCTTGTTCTTGTGCTGGTTCTATTTCTGATTTTGCCTCTTGTTTGGCTTCAGGTTTCGGCATAGTTATCTGCTCAGGAGGTTTATTTTGGACAGGCAAAGGCGTTTCGGGCACACTAGTTGCTTCCTCTTTTACAGATTCTCTATTGGACACTGATTCATCAGGCAATTGAGACCGCCAAATTGCTGCTGAAACCGATTGAAACAAACCATTTTTTGAAATGCTAGGACCAGTACATGTGTTTCCCATATTGCTTCACACTGAAAAAAATTGTGCTACAGCTAAAAAATATCCAATTTTCATCACTCGGATCTCAAAACCTGCATCATATACAAACACAAGACACAAGATCTGAATATGAACTTCAAGTCCCTCTAAGTGAGCATCAAAGTCAAACCCCAAGAATTGAACCAAAATTTTGTTAAAATAATCAACAAATCCAAAGATTCATATCCTCATCCAACAAAATGAGAGTTAGTTTGGACCAGAAAACAGAAAGAAAACCTTTTCATTTTTCAGACAACATTAAAAAATTTAATAGATAATGATTGATATTAACAATAACAGCCACAAAAAAAGGGGGGGAAGTCATAAAACTACGAAAAAAACAGCAAAAGGTAATGAATAGTTAGAACAGTTGAACACCCAAGTTGGTGAAAAGAACAAAGAATCGAACTTTATACAACTCCAAGGACACCCTTTTGAAAGAAAAAAAAATGGAATCAAAAGAGCACAAATCAGAAACTATAAAAACCGAAAATGAAGGTAAATAAATTAGAAGTCAAGGATGGCTAGAAGAGAAAGAGAGAGAGAGAGAGAGAGAGAGAGAGAGAGCAGTTAAAGATTGAAGCATAAAGAAACAGTCAGAGATTAGACAAACCTTGAGTTTACCTTGAGCTTGATGAATCCAAAGATAGTTTGGTAGATAAACATGGTCTTCTGGTTTGGTTGTTTGGTGTCGTACCTCTTGGACCATGTTACACTGCTTCGTTAATTCGTTTATTTATTTCTAATTTCTCGAGTCATTTATATATATTTTTCTCAAACATTACACAAAACATCATATTTAATTTACTATAATATAAATAAACTAGTTTATTTTACATAACTATTCTGAAAATATATATACCTTTAAATTTGATTATCATTTTATAAATTAAATAAATTTGATAACATTGTTTTGTACAAAATTAACTATTGTTTAGTATATTTGAATCTAGACTGAATCCAACTTTTTCTTCGACCACTTTTTTTTTATGGGAAAGAAATGTATTCAACTGGGAATGAATCTCCTGCAGATACACTTTTTTTTATTTATTGTTACAAAAAGAAATGCGAATAATGGAAATTTTCTGTCTTTTCTACTTTTAACATTTACATTATAAAAATGTTATATTGCAAGAAATATGTGAAATGCGAATTGTCAATTAAAAAACAATTTAATTGATAATTTTTTTATAAAGTTACTTGTATTCATAAAAATTAAAATTAATTGAAATAAACGAAATAAAAATTATACAAGATCGAAAATGACTACTTACCAAATTACAATCCAGTTAATAATCACTATAAATACTTAAATTATACTCATTTGTTCTTGGTGCACTATTTTTGCAATTAGAATTATTAATAAAATTCCGATATTTATGATCTGAAGTATAAATGATTACCGTTTGTATCAACTAACGTGTTACTAAATTGTATATATACAATCGTCAAGATAACATAGATATTCTAACGATGAAATTGATGAAAAAATATTTTTAATAAAATTTATGAAAAAATTTGGTAATTCAATGATTGTTTTGTTATAAAAATAATAATAAAAAAAAGTGCATGAAAAGCTAGTGGCATTTTCTTTTTGTGATATTATTATAATTAAGACAGTGAAGAAATAGCATGTTTGCGGGGATGAGTGGGAAAGCGAGTGAAACGCGTTTTGATCTGAAGGAAGGAATGCGCTGATTCCGGGTTATACGTTTTTGACGGAAGAATGATCATATATTAACAACCTTCTAATTATATATAACTAGCTACAATCATTTTTATTAAATTTTCATTAAATGATTTCATTTATATTTTAATTCAATGTTTTACATTGAAAAACAAAAGTTGTGAAATACTCGTAAAGATGATTGTCAAAATATTTCTTTTCTTAATTCACCTTTTTATTCACTTTTCCTTCAGTTTCTGTATAAATAAATTAAGGTCAATTATTTTTGGGTATATAATTATTAAAAATATTCTAGAAAATTTTGTATTAATTTAGTCCGTGATACATGAACATATTTTTGTACATTGTAATACTTTAGACAAAAGATATGATTCAGTTAACGACTCAAATCATATATCAACCCGAATTTCAAACATTTTCTTACATTTATTTTTTCCACTGCCAACCACCATCATTAATGTTTCAATTTTTAATAATTTTATTCCTCTCATATACAACAAAGAAGAATAAGTAGCAAAATAGTTAAGAATATATACCTATTTAAACAAAGAAAACTTTATCAAAGTTGTCATTCGTATTAATTTCTCTTTTCCATTAGAATACATGTAAACATTAAAGTTTGGAATCAACTTTATCTAAGTTTCTAATTATGATTTATTCTATCACATTTAAATTGTTTTGGATTAAATTTAGATAAATTTTGATCATGTTGAAATAAGTCAGTCTAGATAAGTTCGAAATGATCTGGACAGAATGATTCAGATTGAAGGTTGAGATGAATTGAACGAGCCGACCCGAATCGAAGGTCAACATGAATCGGTCTAGGTTGAAGGTTAAGATAGGTTAATCTAGGCCAAAGATCGAAACAAGTTGATCTAAACCGAAGGTTGTGACAAGTCGGCTAGGACAAAGGGTGAGACGAGTTAGATCGAAGGTTGAGACGGGTGAGGCCAAGCCACAATTGAAATTTGGCTAAATTTAGCCACAACCGAATTTTGGCCAAATTCTACTAACGCATCCCCGACCAAAATTCGATCAAATTTGATCAAGTCGACCCTAGCTAAAGTTCGCATGAATTGAACTGAATCGACCCCAATCGAAACTAGCCAAATTTGACCGAGTCAACCACAACTAAAATTTGGTTAAATTCGACCGAGTAGACCTCGATCGAATTTGATTGAGTCAACCCTAGTCAAAATTTAGGCGAATTCGGTCGAATTTGACCAAGTCGAACCAATCAAAATTCGTTTGAATTTGACCCAGTCAACCTAACTAAAATTCGTCTGAATTTGACCTACTATAGTTTAATGCAATGTAGTTTGATAGAACAAAATATAATTTCGTTTAGTTCATCTAAAGTAATTGTTAATAAATTTAATTCAAACACACTACTTCTTTTTCATAATAGTTTTTAGCAACAGTACATTTTTCTCATCTTTATGAAAATTAAGAAGCTTTAAAAAGCAATATATGTTCTTAATTTAAGAATTGGAGTCCCACAAATTTTTGTAAAGAAATTGTATAAGACTATTGACCATCAAATTTTGCATGACATTTTTTCCTTTTAATTAAACTTTTTTTCAAATTATCAATTAATGTGTTTAACTTGTTTAAAAGTTATGGTCTTTCTTCAATTTAACAATGAAAAATCTATACACAGAATGTGTGTGGGTTTCATTGCCTTGTCACTAAGAACTAGCTCATCATAGCTTGACGACTACTTATGCTTTAATGAAAAATACTTTACATCTCTCTTAGTAGGCATTTTAATTGGTTGCATGAATGTAAATTAAAGGCTTAATCGCTCGAAAATGTCAAATTAGTCCATCCTTTAAAAAGTGCGTCAATTACGTCCTTACTTAATAAAATTTATATCAATGAAATCCCTTCTTTTAAATCCGTACAAACGGCGTTAATTATTTTTCTCTCTCTTCTACTTTTTCTGCTTTTGCTGTGCAACGCAGTGATTTAATTTTATAACAAAAGTTAGTGATTTAAGCATAATAACTTAAAAAATATGTTTTATAGATAAAATTAAATAATTATCATTTTATCTTGATGATAAATATGATATAAATTTAAATATAAATAATGAATATTATATTAAAATGAAATTGAAATTGTTATTTAAAATTGCAAATTATTATTATTATTATTTTTATTATATTCTTATTACTATTATTATTATATTATTATTATTATTAGAACCTTGCTATTAGAACTCATCATCCTCCTAGAACCCATCTTCATTTGTAGTACTCCACGACAGCGATGGACAGCACCATCAAGCCACACCTCCAGGCCAAACCAGCAATGACATTATCAGGTCACAATACCAAAGACTGCACCATGAGCTTGAACATGCATATTCACCATCAAGTTCATAACTGTTGTTACTATTGGCATCTCACTCTTGCTCTTGGCTAGGTTGATCTTCACAGATACTATCATAGGGTTGATAGTTGCAACTCCTCTTCTTGTGATCTTCAGCCACATCCTTGTCCCAGCAGCTTTTGTGTTGTTTCTAGTTACTTCCGAATTTTTGTTCTTGGCAGCTGTGGTGTGGCTGCCATTGCTGTTTTGTCTTGGATTTACAACTACGTATCTGGGAACCAGCCTGCAGGTTCTGAAACCCTTGACTATGCAAAAGGGTATCTTGCTGATAAGGCTAGGGATGTGAAAGAGATGGCAAAAGATTATGGAAGCTATGCTCAGGGTAAAATTCAGGAGGCTACACAGGGAGCTTATTAATCATGCATGCCTATGCAAGTTTGTATGAGGCTGAACTGAATGGAGGGAAGGGGTGCCCTTGTGGATGTGAAATGCTTATGTATTATAAGGCTTAATTGAAGGGAGTTATCGTCCCCTTTTGAATGTGCATGTTCAAGTTCTACTATTAATTTGAATTTTGTTTGCAGTTTTCAATGTTGTTTTTCTTTTGTTGTTTTTTTGTTTTGCTTTTGTTGTTAATATAAAATAAGAATATAATAAAATTAATATAAAAATAATAATACTAATAAGAATATAATAATAATAATAATAATAATGATAATAATAATAATGATAATAATACTTTGCAATTTTAAATAACAATTTCAATTTCATTTTAATATAATATTCATTATTTATATTTAAATTTATATCATATTTATCATCAAGATAAAATGATAATTATTTAATTTTATCTATAAAACATATCTTTTAAGTTATTATGCTTAAATCACTAACTTTTGTTATAAAATTAAATCACTAACAAAATTGGTAGAAGAGAGAAAGGAAGAATACTAGAAGGGAGAAAAAAAGTTGCTGCGTTGCACAGAAAAAGTAGAAGAGATAGAAAAATAATTAACGCCGTTTTACGGATTTAACGGAAGGGATTTCATTGATATAAATTTTATTAAGTAAGGACGTAATTGACGCACTTTTTAAAGGATGGACTAATTTGACATTTTCGAGCGAAACTGGGGACAAAATAGGGTATTAAGCCTAAATTAAACTAGTAGATTAAAAATTAAGAAACTCTAATTTGTTTCATTTTTTTAAATTTAAAACACAAAAACATGAAAGAGTTTCATTACTAAACCCTAAATTTAATATAAGAATTATATAAGTGTACAAGTTTATAAAATAAGAGAAAAAGAATAGAATTAACACAAAAATTAGAGCAAAACAACACTAAGGAAGGTAAAACGAGATTATATTAAATTGGAGTTTATCATTTGGCACGAATTTAATTCATAAGATTATTCAAGTACAACACAATAAATAAGATAAAACAATAATCCATAAAAGTTTATCATTTGACACGAATTTAATTCATACGATTGTTAAGTGAAAGTTTTATTCTGAAAAAAGAACATGAACACATACATAGGATAAAATAAAAACATAATTAAAAAGATGACAAACTCAATCTGATTCAAAAAAGTGAAAAATCTAAAAAAATTGAAATAAAGAAACTTATGGTTGGAGGTTGGTTGTCATGCCACTTGGAGAAACTCCAAATACAGATGGAGTCATCACTTGATCAAATGATTCGGG